TGGTCACCTTTTTTTGGTCCCAAATTTACTCCTGTCATATGGCTTCAGGCAGTCCTTGATTCTGGAGGGTGGGATTTTAAGAAGAAATCTGCATTTTTTTTCTCTCTCTCTCTCCTTCCTGAGTTTATAGACCTTCTTCATCCCCTCTCAGTCTGGTTTTTAAATTAATCAGTCAGCAAGTATTACTGAACCTGAAGTGTGTGAACTGAGGCAGGGATGGGAGGCAAAAGGAAAATAATTAGAAGGCCCAGTACAATAACAGCATTTACTGGCCATTCACTACACTGCGGGCACCAACCAGGGTAAGCAACCCGCACAAAGTAGGTACCATTGTTATCTCCATTTCACAGATGGGAAAACTGAAGCCCAAAGCATGAAGCCAGTGGTCTAAGGCCTCGCTGCTAAGAAATGGCAAAGTAGGAATTTAAACCCAGGCCGACTGACCCCTGAGCCTGCACTCTAGACAGCTTCCTTACCCTCCCAGGCAGCGGGAATTAGGGCCGAGGGTAAAAACTTTGCAGCCAGCCGGACCCGGATTCAAACACCCAGCCACGTGGCTTTGTGAATTTGGGCAATTCCCCGAGGCTCTGTTTCATCTTTAGTAAAAACTACCTCAAAGGACTGTACTGGGAATTAAATGACACGATGGATGGGGAACATGTCAGGCCCAGTGCTGGCGCACAGAGGTTCTCCGTGGGTGACCATCCCTGTCCTCTCCCCGCTTCGCAAGCTCGCGGTCTAGTTGCTAAGTTGAAGATAAGAGTTTAGCGGAGAGCTCTGAGCTCTTTTGGAGCCAACGGGGAAGTCAGTTATCAGAGCATTTTTGCCGAGAAATGCAAATGTCTCCTTTGCTCCCTCTCATCCTCTTCAACTAACCTCCTCTCCCATCTCCCCAAAAAGCAAAGGGGTAGCTTTTGTGCTCCAAAGCCGAGTGCTTGAAGCCTCTCTCTTTCCTGCTCCCCAGAATAAGCAGTGGAGATGACAGGAAGTCACCAGTGGGGAGGCCCTTACTGGCAAGTGGGCACTGAGAAATGTGGCGGAGGGCGCTCCTTTTTCTGCCCTTCAATGGTCCGGTTGGGGGAGGGGGCTGGCTGTTGAGCAACTGCTCCAGAGACAGTCCAGAAGCCGAGATGAACACATGCCTCTTTCTAACAATTGGCCTGGGAGCCATCCAATAGATGGAGGGCGGATCCACACCTCCCGGATCCGGAGCCTGCAGCGGAGACGCTGCTGCTGTTGCCAGACCCACTCCGGAGCCAAGCCAAGACTGACAGGGAGGTTGGGTCAGTGGTTCAAAATACTAACGCGCTATACGAAAGGCTAGAGTCGCTCATCCTCCAACACTTAGTTTTCGCAGAAACATTTTTTTTTTCATCCCAGGCAAACACCAAGAGGACTTGAGGGTGTATTTCACACGAGGTTTGCAGTAAGACTTTAGGGAGCCAACAGGTCCCGTCTTTTATCAGAGGGAGACTAGGCAGGGCCCACAATCTTGCAAGCAAAGTGAGAAAGTGCAGCGAAGATGTGTGTGGTGTGGCTGCTACCGGGGTTTGTGTTGGGACAGGGTAGGTGAAAAGACTGGGGCCCTGCAAGGCAGCTTTAGGGGCTGGGGAATGGGTTTAACTAGCGACCAAGGCACTCGTCCAATCTTCCTCCAGATGCCGAGGAAGGGCCTTGATCCGTCTCTCCGTTTGCTTCCCATCTTTGTGTCTGTAAGCTGGTCAGTCCGTCAACAAACAGAACTTTGTTAGACGAGCAAATGCAGGGCACTTGGCGCTACTGAAAAATGAAAAAGAAAAGAAAAAGAGACCTACAGGTATTCAAATCCAATTAAGAAGACAAAACACATACATAGGGAAAATGACTTCGTGACATTCCCTCTCCCCCTCAACCCACCTGCTTTTTTTTTTTTTTTTTTAACTTCAGGACCTTTTCTTAAAGAGCAGGTTTTATAAACAGTGTAAACTGAGTAGTTGTTGCTGAAAGGAAGCAGAAAAAGTGCAGCGGTGGCGAGGGGGCGGTAATAGAGAGGTAATCCTGATGACCTTCCCGTAAGAGGTAAGGTGGGAATTTCTTGGCCACAAAGAACACGAATTGAGATGAGGGAGAAGACCCAGACCTCTTTCCAGTAAGGATTTGTAGGACAATATCTCTATCCAAGGAAGACAAACTCCAAATGCAAAATGTTATTCTTGCTAGACGCGAATGATTATATAATCATAATAAAAGAACCTGGCATCGTAGGAAGGCAGAAGGAATCTCCGCGAACTCTGGGGCAAGCTCTTCGTACCCCGTTGCCGGCTGTTGGTTTTTCAGTGAGCCTCGTGAGCTGCACCTAGCCCCACGGTCCGGGAGAGTAGCATTTCTCCGCGTCGCATCTTGCCAGCTTCCTGCTCTGGATGACCACAGAACAGAAACCCTCCAACCCAACCCCAGCTCAGGACTTCAAGGAGAGCCACCACTGCCATATAGGCCCTCCATGCGACTCTGCGCAGAATCTGGCAACTTTAAGAGGAAAAGGAACCCCCAGCCTCAGCTGTTAAACGAATGAGATAGTACAGCCCCCCCCCAAAAGGCAGACAGGCTCCAAGAAAGCCCCGTAGAAAACTAACGACCATGCCCCGTCCCGTGTGCCTTAGACCTCTATTCCAGGTCACTCCTTGAGCCCACAGCTCTCTCCCAAAACCCCTGAAGCCCGCTGTGGCTCCCCACTAGATTTAGGTCAGAAAACAGACACTAGCGGCTCTCCTTTGCCTCAGTGAAATTACTAAGTGGAATTTATTGGGCAAGTCCACGCAGGTCGGTGGGGAGAGCCGGTGTCCCGGGCCCTGGCCCCCGACAGCTTTAGAAGCCGGGCACCGGCCAGGGCTCTGGGCGAGGGGTGCGCACAGCCCGGACTCCCCAGCCCCAACCCGAGAGCCGTAGACGGTCCACAGGGCTGCAGGACCCGCGGGGCCGCGTGGACTCCGTTCCCCAGCCGGCCCTTCGCTTTCACACGATCCGTGGTGACTGCACCAGCTCGAGCGCCTTTAAAGGGCCACACACGCCAGCCGCTGCTATAAAAATGTTCCCGGCGGCACAACTGCAGAAAGGGCACTGCTGAGCTGCCGAGAGGAAGCTCGCTCTGCCCGGCTGCCCTCCTGTAGCCCGCCGGCGAGGGGCAGTTCCCGGTGAGGACGGAGAAAGAAGAGGACTGCACAACACCCGCGCGGGCTCTCCGTGAGTATCCAGTTCAGATTTTGCCACCAACTCGCCCAAGAGCCAGGACATGTGCTAATAATGCCCTATGCCGGTTATAAAGACGTGGAAATTGGGGGGAGAAAAAAAAAAAGGGAAAAAAAGGGTCTGTCCTTCCTGGGATTCCTAGCCAAGGCCAGTCTGCTGCCGTGTGCGTGTGCGTCAGGGCTCTCCGGGCTGCAATGGGGGCTTGAGAGCCGGGTCCCCAGCGCCGGGAAGGGAGCGCGGTGGCCGCCACCGCCACCGCCGCGGAGTCCGGCGCCGAAGCCGCGGGCGGGCGGGCGGGAGGGCACCGGCTAAGGCCGGAGCTGCTTGGCGCGGCGCTGTGCGGTGCAGCGGCGGCGCGGCGCGGCGCGGCGAGGCGCGGTGCGGGCTTTTCCCAGGCGCCCCGGGGTCGGGTGGCCACCGGCGCGGCCGCGGGCGCTGAGCGCGACCGGCTCGCGGCGGCGGTGGCGGCGGCGTGCGTGCCAGGGGCTGGGGGCTCCGCCGCCTCTCCTGCGGCTCACCGAGCTCCGCGCTTCCCTCTCTCCAGGGCAGGCGGCTTCGCAGAGGTAAGCCGGGCCGCCGGGCTGGGTGCCGGGCTGGGCGGCGGGGCCGAGGACTCCCGTGTAGCGGGTGTGGGGAGCTGTGTGGGGAGCGGGTGGCCGCCAGGCGGGCCGGAGGGTTCTGGGGAGACTTGTTTTCTGTTGGAAAGCTGCTCTGCTGGGGGCGAGGGGCCGCCGCTGCCGCCCGCCAGCCAGCGCGCCGGTTCGCTAGCCAGCGCGCCCGCCTGCCGGCCAGCCGGGCCAGGCGCCCGCTTCTCCCAGGGAGATGGCAGAACCTTTTCTCCCCGCGCTTTCTCCAGCTTGGCTTCCACCGACTTTCCTAATCGCCCGGACCGCATCTGGAAGCTCCGGCTCCGGAGCTGCACAAAGCTCAGGTTTCCTTCGGGGAATGGAGGCAAAAGGGGCTTTTCGGGCCGAGTTCAGCGTTAATTGCGGGATGGAAGTTAGCGAATTTGGGCAACTTGCCTCTGCTGCCCAGTCGACCTCAGCTCTCCCCTCCCCCGACACACGCCCACACACACACACCCACGCGCACACCCCTCTCCCTATAAATGCTGGCGGCTGAGCCGCGCGCCGAGTCCCTGCCTCGCAGACCTCCGGACTTGGAGTCAGAGAGACCTGGCTGCGAATCCCGGCTCCGTCACTTTCTAGCGCTGTGACCTTGGGCAAGTTACTGCACCTCTCCGAGGCTCTCTCACTCTTCTCGTAGTGGGGTTTTAGCACTGACCGCAGGCGGCTTGGCTAGCGAGTAGGCTCAGCCTGCGGCCGTGTCGGATGCTCAGCAGGCGCTAAGTGTTGATGAGGCGCGGGAGTGGCTGCCGCCGGCGCCGGAGTGCGCCCCCGCTCGCGGAAACGCAGCGGGCCCCCGGACTCGCCGAGGCCGACACCCCGCGCCCCTTCCCGCCTGTCCATCCTGTCTCTTCGATCGGTTCCTGATCCAGCACTTGGGGGAACGGACGCTCAGTGCTCCGGTGGCCTGGGTGCTCGCGCCCGCCGTGCAGGGATGCTCCCGGCTGCCCCCGGTTCCGAGGTTCCATCTGGGATGCGGCGAGGAGGGCAGCCGAGCTGTCCGCAAACAACCGGCCTTTAGTTTTCAGGTGGCGAAACTGACTGGTCTGGTTAGAACGCGTCCAAGCCAAGCCGCAGTGCTGTTTGGATTTTTAAATTTCTCCTTCTGAGTGAGAAAATAGCAATCGAGATGGAACCAACCGGTTGGTGCCATTTTAACTTTTGGTCCCCCAACAGGTTAAAGATGAGGCCCCCACCTGCCTCTCCCTTCTGGTTTTCCTCTCCCCTTCCCACCCCTGTCTAGGCGGGAGGGGGGCTGCCTGCCCAAGGGAACGCCTGAAGCGAAGAGCGGGCGGCGGGACTGGGAACCGGTGGCTGGGGGGCCGCGAGGCACCAGCCGGCGGGGAGGCACTTGTTGCTCTAGGTTTCCCAGCCGCCTCTCGCAGCCCGTTTCGCAGTGGTCAGCTCCCGGCTTGGAGAGCGGGCTGGGACATTTCCACGTTGCCAAGTTTTGCCCTCGAACGGACTAGAGGTTGGTGAAGGAGGACAGAAAACCGGGGAAGCAGAGCCAGGGATGCCGATCGAAATGCGATTGCCTCTTCAGACGCATTCAACAACTTACTGAGCGCCTATGAAGCACAGACTCAGGCTGGGGGTCAGGATGGGTGGTGGGTCAGTAATGGAAGGCTAAAGATCTGAATGGACGCAGGGTCTCTTCTGGGGGAGCTCCCAGCCTCAAGGGGGAGATGCGGTAAAATGGTCTTCCCGCACGAACTGATAGCAGAATAGAGATAGTTTTTCCTCGTTCTTTTTCTTTTCCTAATGTTTCTCTTTTGGTTTTGCTGTTGTTGCTGCTACTCCTGTTGTTTTTTATTCCTTTTGTACATTCGGGTACCAGGCGGCATAAAGGAGAGGAAAGGCTGGATAGGATCGGGAAAAGATGGACAGGGCCCCCAGACATTTTTTTTAGTACAGGAAAATTGCCTGATACTGATGGTACTAGGGCTCTTGAAGACGACATATGTTAGACTTCTTGTCTGGTGATCACTTGCTTTTGAAATATTTTTCTAAGGTTGCCTCAGAGAAGGAGCAGGGCTTCAATCAAGCAATGACGCGGGACCCAGCAGCTGATATATTTTCCTCATGTTTTAAAAAAATGTTTACCCGTTTCTCTATTTTTTCTCCCTCCGGCCCCCATCCACCCAAGTAAGCAATGCAAAGACGATACGGAGAGATAGTAAGTGGCCACTTTCTAGAAGTGTCTGAGCAGATTCTTAACCACTGGGGGGTGGAGAGTGTCATGGAGAATTCTAGCCTCCTTGGAAAGATTAGAGACGCTTTTTAAGGTCCTCAAGACTCTTTGAACCAAGAGGTATTTATAAATATGAAATTCTACATCTCTAATTTATCATGAAGGCTAGAATATATGGGGCTTTAAAAGAGAGAGAGAGAGAGCGCCCCACTATGTTGCCCAGGCTAGTATCAAACTCCGAGGCTCAAGTGATCCTCCCACTTCAGCTTCCTGAGTGAAGGAGACTACAGGAGGGTGCTGCTGTGCCTGGCTATGGGACATTTTTTCTTATTTGTAAACAGGTGTCTAGGAAAATAAGTGGAGATTTTCAGAGGTTTGTTTATTTTCTGGTTTGGGGGGTATTCTTTTGCTCTTGTTCCCTTACGCTTTGGCACTTGAGCCAGGGAATCACTTCTTTAGATGCTATTTCAATCCAGCTAGGTATGATTACCTAGCCAGTGGTCAGATGAGGCATATGGGCATAGGGGTGCTAGATCCTGCTCCCAGAACTGCTGCTACTTGACTAAAAAGCCATTGAATCTCTGTGCCTCACTTGTCACTATAGTTGGGAATGGCTGGGCTCAGGTTTCCGCGGCAGGCATCCTAGGAAAGCCCAATGCTGGGGCTGTTTTGGAGGGGGCTTGAGACATGGAGGAAAGTGAGACATTCCTAGCTTCTCTCTGGCTCCAGCTGCCTCAGAGCCCCCAGACCACGCTGATCAGCCTGGCTTCTCACAGGCATGCCCAAGGCTATGCTTTGGAGCTTCATGACATTTGCACTGGGGACTTGTTCCTTCCCTGTGCTGCAACCTCTAGCTTTCTAGGTCTTCCTTGCTCTGACTTCTTCCCACATTCTCCCAGTCCCAGTGGAGGCCCCAACTCTCCAGTCCGGATGCTAGTAGCCCATTGAGACAATATGTTGCTTACTCAAGGACATTTCTGTCCTCCAAACCAGGAACAGTGCCACCCTCACCCCCACACATACAACTTGGGACTGTGAAGTCCCTCGCATGAGAAAGCAGGGTGTCCCATCTTGGTGATATGGGTAGGTGGCTGCCTGGGCACCTGGCCAAATCAAGCACTTTTCCTACCTCAGGCAAAAGTTCCAGCTTGGTCTCCTCCCTGTGCTCAGGTGATCTCTAGTTTTGGCTGTAACCCGGTCACCATCCTTGCCTCGTAGTTGTGTGGCATTGCCCTGTTTCGGGCTTTGCTAGTACCTTGTTGGTCAGTGAAGCCTTTTGCCCTTACCACCACTTTTTCCTCACTTGCAGCACAAGAGCTCCAGCTGGCAGCATCATCTTCTGACAATTTATCCAACTTCTGCCAAGACTCTGAAATGCCAACAACTTCGAGGCCTGCACTTGATGTCAAGGGTGGCACCTCACCTGTGAAGGAGGTAATTTTTGACATTTTACAGATGAGGCAGGGAAAGACAAATCTTCTAGGGTCATGGGCCAGGCCCTCCTAGGTGTGTTACCCAGTGTCCTTGAGCAGAGAGGAGACAACAGGGCTATCTCTGGGGAGAATGAGAACAGCTTCTGCCTAAATGTGGTTGGATAGTATCTACTAGGGGTGTCGAAAGATGGCAGGAAAGGGAGCAGAGAAATCGAACTGGAGCAAAACCACTCTGTTGAAGAGATTAAAGTGAGGCTGAGAAGAGGGACAAGCGGTGCGATTTTTAGGATGGTGAAGTGGAGGCTATGGGGAAGGAGCTGAAAGCAGTGAACGCACTTATGATGTCAGGTGCTCCAGGACTAGAACTGGGGTCTGGCCTCAGTACTCAGAGCCATGGCAGCAAAAGCATGCTTGAGCTGGGAGCCTAATTTTCAAGGGGGTCCTCTTGCTACCTCTCCACCTCTAGCCCCAAATGAAGTGCAGGTAGGAGCCTTCTAAATCTGCTGAATGGTGAAGGACAAGCCAGGAGCAGGGTTACTGTGGTGTGCTTTTCTCTGTCTTCTAGGATGCCAACCAAGAGATGAGCGCCATGGCCTACTCTAACCTTGCAGTGAAAGATCGCAAAGCAGTGGCCATTCTGCACTACCCTGGGGTAGCCTCAAATGGAAACAAGGCCAGTGAGGCTCCCACTAGTCCCTCGGGATCGCCAGTAGGCTCTCCTCCTGCCACCCCTCCCGCTAAATCCCCATCCTTCAACCTGAACCCTGCCCCTCACTTGCTGGCCAGTATGCAGCTGCAGAAACTTAATAGCCAGTATCATGGGATGGCCGCCGCCACTCCGGGCCAACCCGGGGAGGCAGGGCCCCTGCAAAACTGGGACTTGGGGGCTCAGGCGGCGGGAGGGGCGGGATCACTCTCTCCTTCTGCTGGTGCCCAGAGCCCTGCTATCATCGATTCAGACCCAGTGGATGAGGAGGTGCTGATGTCGCTGGTGGTGGAACTGGGGTTGGACCGAGCCAATGAGCTTCCGGAGCTGTGGCTGGGGCAGAATGAGTTTGACTTCACTTCAGACTTTCCATCTAGCTGCTGATCCCAAATGTCCCTAAAGATGGAGGAATAAAGCCACCAATTCTGTTGTAAATAAAAATAAAGTTACTTGCAAAGAGACAGGCCAATTAGAGGTATTCTTCATTGAGATCTAATGATGTGTAGTATGGTCTGATGTCCTTTTAGCAATTCTGAGGCTCATGGTGGGGTTGTGGGTGGCTAGCTGGGAAGGAGCTGGATGGGATGGGAGGAGAAGGGAGGGTGAAGGGGGCTGTTCCCTGAATTCCTGCTGCCAGCACCACTGTGGCTATCTCCTCGGGAGTACCTGGTCTCATTGACCTAAGACTCCAGGAACACCATGGCATACAGGGGCTGGTTGGGGACATTATTGGAAGAGAGACTGATCAGACCCTTCTGCAGCCTCCTTGCCACATGCACATCTAAGTCTAAAGGCACATCCCTGGCCACATGGCACACACTTCACCAACTCTAAAAGCCACCCCCACCCACTCTCTAGCTTCAATCCAATTGACCCATTAAGGCCATTCCTTTGCCCTCCTGCCCATGTGCAATAGACGGATAGGGCCGAAGAAGGATTCTATGATCTGGGAGCCCAGAGTTCTCTGGAAAATGACAAAAGCAACAGACTCCCATCATTAAACTGTGATTCAGGGTGCCTTCTTCTCCAGGCCCCTCACAAAGCTGCTCAGACCTCCTAGCCTGGGACACTCTGAGCTGGTTTTGAGTGTCCCTAATTCCTACCTTCCTGACCCACCCAGTTGTTTGAGCTGGCCTTTCCATCTTAGAGATACAGATCAGGACTAGGCTTGACAAGTTCACCATTCAGTGATCTATCCCTTCTCTCTCGATTAACTGCTGAGGAAGCAATGGCTTCAGAAGCATGCCAAGTGACAAGGCACTGGCACTGCACTGGATTGTGGCCTTGTGATACTCTGATAAAGTCTTGTCCTCGTGTTGACACAACCCAATGTCCTGGACACTCTGTCCACGTTTTATACTCCCAGACAGCCTTCTTCCTTGAACGTTGGAAACGACTCTAATCAGCCTCTCAGGACTAACATCAGGCCTGCTCCTTAGCAAGCACTTTCGAAAGAGTGTGCTAGCAGGGGCGTTTGTTGGACTCGGCACTCCCTGAGCACCTGCTCTAGGCCAGGCATTTTGCTGGACACTGGGAGCATGAATTAAATGAAGTTTACCTTTGAGGGAGTTCCCCATCTCAGAAGGAAAGACAAGCACAAACAAATTATAATAAAACAGCATTTCCTAGAACACAGGAGGAAGGTGCTATTTGATCTCAGAAAAGGAAACAGCTCCATCTGCCTGGGAAGTCTAGAGAAGGCTCCTTATATTGAACTGGTTTGTTTGTTTTCATATTTCACAGGTAATAAATACATGATCCAATCTTCCTGTAAAAAGTAGAAGCTTTGCAGATAAGGCTAAAGTTCCCTTTGACCAAATCTCTTCCTCAATCCTGATTGCCTCCAGTTCTCCACAGAGGTAGCAATTGATTATCTGTGGTGCATCCTTGCTGGCCTTGCTCTCTGTCCTTACATAAAGGTATATGCACCTATAGAAAGAGTTGGCCTTTGAAATAAGACTTGAGTCAGCCAAGGGAAGAATGAGTGAGGGGAACAGCTGTTACACAGGCGCAGGTGCATGAGAGGGGCGACAGTGGCTGAAAACCAGGAGTTCAGCATGTAGGCTGTCACAGAGCTGGTGAAGGGGACAGGAACTGATGAGGTTAGAGAAGTTAACAAAAGGCAGAGTCCACAGGGCCATCAGGAAACATGCCTTCGCCTTCGTGCCAGCAGTCCTGTGGTTCTGGAAGAATCTCTGGAGGTTTGTAGGAAAGCAAATAATTAACCAATTTTTAACATCCCATTTTTAAGATTATTTCAATAAAAGTGGATGGTCAGATTCATCTAAAGCTGGGAACAGGGAGACATGAGGTTTTGAGGGGGCTGATGAGGCAGGGGTGGGAAAACAGAGAGGGAAGAAAGGAAGCCCGGAAGAAGGTGGGGAGAGCAGAGCAGGCTTGAGGGCCCGGGGTCTGTGAGGAGAACACAGGAACTGGATTGGGGGAGCTAGGAAGGGAGGGGAAGGAGGGACCTGAGCTCCCAGGTCATAGGATCCTTCTTTGGCCCTATCTATCTATTGCACATGGGCAAGACTAGGGGAGCTAGGAAGGGAGGGGAATAAGGTTCTCAGAATCTGCATAGCTCCTAGCAACACAAGGGCAGTGTGGACACAGGCATGGGGCTGAAGCAGAATGACAGGCTGTGGAAGGAGCCGAACGCTGAAAGGCTGGAGGGTCCTGGGGTCTCTCCCTTGCTGAGGCCTTCAAAAAACACAATTCTGGCCAAACTAAATAGGTCAGCAGGCTGCGTGCAGTGCCTGGTCCTCAGCTTGCCACCCCTGATCTCTATGAATATAAGCTCTGGAACTCCCAGGATGGCAGTAGCTCTTCAGTGGAGAGAAGCTTGAGCCAGGGGCCAGTGCCTTCAGGACGGGATGCGCTGTTTTGGAATCACGGGGGTGACAGGAGTGCGGCTGGGAAGCAGGTGGTGGTGGGGAATGATCTGAGCATCTTTAGTATATTAATCAAAGTCTCCAAAGAAACAGAAAAATAGGATAGAGACCTGCAGATATATATGAGTTGGCTCACAAAATTATGGAGGCCGAGAAGTCCCACAGTCTGCTGTCTGCAAGCTGAAGAACCAGGCAAGCCAGTGGTGTAATTCGTCGGAGTCTGAAGGCCTGAAAAGGTGGAAGATAGTGACAGTGTAAGCCTTGGTCTGAGTCTGAAGGCTTGAGAACCAGGCACGCAGAGGTACAACAACAGGAGAAGATGATGTACCAGATTAGACAGAAACAAATTCACCCTTCTTCTGTCTTTTTGTTCTACTTGGGCCCTCAACAGATCAGATGATGCCTACCCACATTGCTGAGGGCAATCTTCTGACCTCAGTCTACCCATTCATTTGCTCATCTCTTCTGAAAACACCCTCTCAGACACACACAGAAATAATATTTGACCAGCAATCAATATACTTATCCCAGTCGAATTGACATGTAAAATTACTCATCAAACCTAGAGAAGGTGCTTCTGAATGAGGAGGGAGAGCAGGAACTTTGGCATGGGACCAGTGGCCAGAAATGTGGCCAACTGAGCAGCCTCCTCTCCAGACAACTTGGAGGGAGAAGGCATGGGACATACTGAAGGAAGACCCAAGGCCCTGCACAGGGGCAGATGAGGAGGGCATGGGTCAGTAATTGTTTATTGCGAGAGAAGGAGAGGGAGTAAGGGAGCTCCACAAGGCACAGTGGAGGAAAGGCAGGCAAGTCTCAGTCCTTGTCATAGAGGTCATGTTCAGGCCTCTAATGGCACAACCAGACACATTCATTCATTAGGTTTCCAGAAGATTCCTGAAGCCAACTCCAAGTCCTGGCCTGGGATAGGCCCTGGGGGCTAGGAGGCAAGATACGCCGATGTACACAAGTAAATAACACTGTCAATCTGCAAGGAGCTTGCTGCTCAGCACAGGGCTAGGAGGCAAGGTTCCCAGATGCACACAAGTAAAGAACATTGTCTACCCTCATGGAGCTTGCTGCTCAGAACAAATGTGTAGCCAAGAGTACCTCGTAGAGCCCAGAAGCAGTGCTGCTCCCTAGGGACAAACTAGGGAGAACCCCGTTCCTGCTCTGAGGAACTCATCACTCAGTGGTGGAGATAGCCACAGCCTTGAAGGATGAATTGTATTTTCATAAAGCAGCAATGCTGGTGGGGCTTGAGGGGATGTAATGGCCTCCAGGCTGAGGGGGCAATTGGAGCAGAAATAAAAAGATAAAATCAGGGCTTGATATAAACCAGAACAAAATGTTAGAAAGCCCAAGGCTTTCTCAAGGAAGTCCTGCAGCTTGACTTCCTCAAAGGGCAGAGAACTGAGAGGAGGTAGGGTGGAATCAGATCCTGCAGTTGTTAATACTTTATTCCACAGGTGAGGGACAATCTCTCATTCCACAAATAAGGATTGAGCACCTACTATGTGCCAGGAACAATGCTAAGCACTGGGAATATGTGGTGAGCACACTGTCCTTGCTCTCATGAAACTTCAAGTTTAGCAAGGAGATAGCCAGTAGTCAAGTAATCATGCAGATAATTCAAATTACAAATCATGAAAAGTGATAGGATAAAAAGGTACAGGGCACTATGAAAGGGTATAATGGGGGTTTAATCTCAATTGCAGTGTCAGAGAGGGCCTCTGAAGATTTTAAATGAAGTAGAGTTGTGGTCAGAGCTTGCATGAGGAAAATTAATCAGGCAATAGTGTGCATGACAAATTGGAATTATGGTGATGCTAGAAAGCTGTGACAGTGGTCCAGGAAGAAAAAAGAAGATGGGAAATTAGTTTATTATAAAACTGCAACATTTCAATGGAGAGTTGTTGTTTAATGGGTATAGAGTTTCAGTTCTGCAAGATGAAAGAGCTCTAGGAATCTGTTGCACAGCAATGTGAATACACTTAACACTACTGAATTGTACACATAAAAATGGTTAAGATGGTAAATTTTATGTTGTGTTTGTAACCACAATTTAAAATTTAAAAAAAAAAAAGAGTTAGCATTCCAAAGTAGTGAGGAAATGATGGATTATTCAATAAATGCTTTGGGACAACTGAATACAATAACCCAAACTTGCATCAAAATGAATTCCAGATAAGCCAAAGATTTAAAAATAAAAAATGAAATCATGAAAGTAGTAGAAGAAAAAAATGAAGACTTTAAAAAGAAAATTTTGAAATAGGGAGGACATTCTAAGAATGATACAAAACCCAGAAGCTATGGAAGAGGCTGGTATACTTAACTGCATTAAAAAAAAAAAAAAAAAAAAAAAGGCCAGGCATGGTGGCTCACAACTGTAATCCCAGGCCAAGGTGAAAGGATTGCTTGAGCCTGGTTCAAGGCCAATCTAAGCAACATAGAGAGATCCTGTCTCTACAAAAATTTTAAAAATTAGCCGGATGTGGTGGCGCACACCTGGTATCAGCTACTCAGGAAGCTGAGTCAGGAGGATCTTGGACCTAGGAGGTTGAGGCTGCATTAAGCC